GAATCCTTGCACGGGTTCCTGTGCAATATATGAATATATACACATATCTCTCTCTCTCTCTCTCTGGTTCTCTTTCTGTTGCCCTGACATATGAAACGGTACGGTCTGGCGCCAGAGAAGGAGGAGGATGAGGCAGAAGACGACGACGACGACGACGACGACGACGGCGAGACTTTGCACATCTCTCGGAGTCTGGGGGCCGTCTGCAAGCCATTGGACGTCAAGGACCCAAGATTGACAAGTCGGGCCAGCGACGTCACAACGACTGGGGGGACGAGGAAGAAGGAGGAGGGTAAAGAGCAAGAGGCCCAAATCTCAAGATAACTTACCATGCGTGCCCCTCCCTGGGCCTCCAGAGGCTGAAGGAGGCCTCCTGGGTCCTTTTAAGAGATCTCTGGAACCTCCAAGGACCTCAGGGACTACCTCCCTTCCTCTCACCCATTCTCCCTCTCCCCATGTCCTGCCTTTTTCCCTCCTTCCCGCCGTCGCCCTGCGATCATCTCTACCATCCCCATATTCCCTCCTCCTGTGTCTCCTCCCTGCCCGCCTCCGTCCCTCACCTCCTCCCTCCACGTTTTCCTCCCTCCTCTCCTCTCTCACCTCTTCCGTCTCTTCCTCCCTTCCTGCACCCCTTGGTCCCTCAGCTCCTCCCTCCGCTTTACTTCCATTCTCTCCTCCCCTTGCACAGTTCTTCCTGCTTTATCCCGTCCCTGCTCAGTCCCGCCAGCTGTTGCGTCCAGCAACTTCACGCGTAGGCATGGTGACTCGAGCAGTGTGCCCTAACCTGATTATATACAATTAGGGGCCTGGCGTTTCCCTGCTCTTTTGCTGGATCGCCGCCATTCGTCTCCTCAGTCTCCCTATTGTTGCTGCGCCGCTGCTGCAGACGCTCCGACGCCAACAACCACCCAGGTGCAACCTTCATTGCAGAAATTTCGTCGTGGTGGATCGTCCCCCTCTTGATATCAGGGCGGCTTGCAATTGTGTTGTCTCTGGGCGCTTAGCCTCTTGAACACGCGCTGTCGACCGGCCGTTCCTGTAGCAGCGCATTGCCAGCGTACTCTCCACTCTGGCTTCCCCATTCGCCCCCGGGTTCCCCTTCCCCGCGACTTGGGTTGACGCCAGCCCGTTCGGGTGTTGCCCCCCTCGCCTTAAGAGACAGCAATATGTTTCCAGTGTCTATTTCGGGTTCTTTTGTTTGAGCTGGCGAGTACGATGAGATATGTTCGCCGCGCTGCCCTCTTCTGTATTGTCCCCTGTGTGGGGTTGGGGGCTGGTAGCAGTAGTGGTAGTCTGCGCAAACCAGCCTCCCCTCATATTCATCGAGTACAATAGCATCAGCCATACCGCCGTTCGGCCACGAGCCCTGCTCCGTCTCCTCCTGATCCCTCCCTTCCCTCATCTCCATCGTCCTCCCTCCCTCCCTGTTGTCCTCCCCATTCTCCGCTTCGACCACTTCTCACTCCTCTTCCTCGTACTCATCCTCCTCCTCCTCATCATTCTCCTCCGTCTCCTTCTCCTTCTCCTTCTCCTTCTCCTCGTCATCCTCTTCCTCCTCCTCCTCATCATCATCACCATCATCATCACCATCATTATCACCATCATCATCATCAGCATCATCATCCTCAGCATCATCGTCATCATCACCATCACCATCATCAGCATCAGCATCAACATCCATATCCTCCTCATCATCATCATCATCATCATCATCATCAGCATCATCATCATCATTATCATCATCCCCATCATCATAATCATCATCAGCATCAGCAGCATCATCATCATCCTCGCCCTCGTCCTGCTTCCTGGGAACCTTTTTCTCACTGATTATCTCTCAAAGGGGCAGCGACTGGCGCAGACTGCAGGCGTGCTGGGGGGGCGAGCTCCCTCAGCTGGTCTTGCGCGCCCTTGAGCTTCTTGCTCTTCACCTCCGGACAGGACCCGCCAACCACACCAGGCGTTCCCCCTCGTCCTCATCAGCACCATCAGCATCATCGCCATCGCCGCCATCCCACCAGCGGCACCCCGTGATCGTCGGCCATCCAATGCTCTCTCCTCGAGGAGCAGGCGGAGAAAGAAGAGGAGGGGGAGGAGGAGGAGGAGGAGGAGGAGGAGGAGGAGGAGGAAGAGGAGGAGGACGGAGAGGAGGACGGAGAGGAGGAGGAGGAGGAGGAGGAGGAGGTTTTGAAAACGACCGCCCGCTAGTTCACGCAAAGAGCGTCAGAAAAAGAGGGGTGGCTCCGTCTCTTCGGGGTGGAGTCCCCTGCATAGTCTGCTCCAAGCAGCCTGGTTATGCTTGCCTCTGTCAGTCCCGGGGTCCTTCCGACAACCTGTGCACACGTCCCCGAGCTCAGCAAGACGAGCACCAGACGCGCAACATGTACATTCCATGCACAACGATCATACGATCGCTGGAGCAATCAAGTATCACACACGTGCGGCCCAAATCCCGAAGCGACAGAACACTGACCTTGGAGACTTCAGCACAGTGGCCTGGGGGAGGGCAAGAATGTCCAGGGTTACACGTCGTTCATCTCCAGTCGTGCCTATTTCTGAGTGTGCTCGTTTCTACGTGTTCCCGGCCCCCCAGTGGCCAGGAAGAGGCCCAAGATGGAACACTTAGAAATGAAAGGATCGTGCCCCCCCCCCCCCAAAAAAAAAACAAAGAACTTCCCAAGAATCAGGAACGAACAACGTGTACGGCTTGACCGAAGGCGCGCGGAGCCTTGCAAAACCTCCGGGAGCCCTCTGGAGGGCCCGGCCGGGCCCACGCGTGGGGCCTGGAGGCCTCGCGAGCCTCGCCTCCATCAGGAGGGGCACTAGGAGGGAGGGAGGGGGAGGAACACTGTTGGAGGAGGAAGGGAGAGAAAGGAGGAGGAGGAGGAGGAGGAGGAGGAGGAGGAGGAGGAGGAGGAGGAGGAGGAGGAGGAGGGAGGGAGGGAGGGAGGGAGGGAGGGAAGTAGGGACGGAGGACAGGGCCTGACAGGACCTGCATCGGGCCGAAGGTCTGAGCTATAGTCGACTGTGCTACACACTAGGCTGACACACCAGATGTACGACCTGCAGTGCGCGCACACATGTGCACTGAAACATGAACGGCCCCCCCACACCTGGGAGCCCCGAGTTGCCCTCGCACAACCATCGGCGACCGTACTCGAGAAACTTCAAATGATCCGTGAAACTAAGCTGTAAACAGCTAACCAAAATTTGGTGAGCTCGATGTGCAACTATACTGTTGCTGCCGCTTCATTTTATTCAGGCGACTAAGTCCACGACGGCCACCATGCAGAAACGGGCTGATCATTCAGAGAACCTGGTCGCTGACTTCAGGCGCCTCTCACAGACGCTGTCACTCTGTCCTCGCCCCGACTGGGGCAGCTCGCCCCACGCAGCGGAGTCGCCGCGGGAGCCGCCGACGCCATAGAGAAAATCAAGCTTCCACGTTTTCTCTGGGTCGCGGTCGGAGCCGTCGACACCGTAGAGAGAACCATCCCACCACCTCCTTTCTGGGTCGCCGTTGGAGCAGTCGACGCAGTGTACAGTCAACCAGTACAGCAAGGATGCGCGATGAGGATGCAGGGGCCTTGGACGCCCATCTCGAAGCCTTTCGAGCGGGGCGCGGCCAGCGAAACTGGCCAAGCATGGTCCGAGGAGGCGAGGATGCAAGGGTACCCTTGGGAAGGTTGCCCATCCTTACAGTGCGAGCGCGGCCGCAAGAAACCCTCGCAAGAAACCCAACCCTGAAAACCCGCGCGCGAAGTGCACCGGAGGGGAACCCTGGAGCACCCCGAACGCAGCAGCTCCTTCAGCGGCCGCGGGAAGTCGCCGCGCAGCGCGCGGAGCGAAGAAACCCAGGACACCCTGACGAAAAGCACATGGTTTCTTGATGCGCGCCCCTACTGTACTGTGCGGGTTGACTGTATCTCGCCATCGCTCGGACGTCCATTCCCTGTGTTTTTTCGGTTTCGTGCGTGGTTCTTTCGCCAAGTGATCAAGGATGCTCCTCGATGGTCCTCGCCGAAGGAAAAATGCACACGTCCGAGCGATGCCAAGGTATAGTGAGAACCATCCCACCACCGTCCCAGGCTGGACGCCAGCGGCCGCCGCCGGAGCAGCCGACGCCGTAGAGAGAGAACCATCCCACGACCGTCGGAGCCGGGCGACTTGACAGACGAGCCGGTTGCAAGACCTGGGCCCCACTGCAGCAACGTCTCGGCCCCCTGCAGAGTCCTCCTCCTCCTCCTCCTCCTCCTCCTCCTCCTCCTCCTCCTCCTCCTCCTCCTCCACCTCTCCCTCCTCCTTCTCCTCCTCCTCCTCCTCCTTTCCCTCCTCCTCCTCCTCTTCCTCCTCTCCTCCTCCTCCTCCCCTCCTCCTCCTCCTCCTCCTCCACTCTCCTCCTCCTTCTCCTCCTCCTCCTCCTCCTCCTTTCCCTCCTCCTCCTCCTCCTCCTCCTCCTCCTCCTCCTCCTCCTCCTCCTCCTCCTCCCCCTCCTCTGGATCCCCATCAGCACGAGAGCCCCGACGGCAATTTCACGACCATCGGCAGGATGGGCCACATCCTCGCCAGCGACGGAGCTCACCGATCGACACCGTCCCACGCTGTCTGCGGCAGGCGCGGAGTCCGGCGGCGACGACAGGGGCGAATAGCCCACGGGCAGGCACCACACGCATTCGCCCGGGAGCCTTGTCGAAGACACAGATCATCGGCACCCCTGGAACCCTGGAGGGGAGGGAGGAGCACGAAACCTTGTAAATGCTATTGGTTTTCGATACCCTCCTCGCTCAGGCGGGGCCTCCCTGGAGGGGTGGAAGGGGCACGAAACCATGTAAATAGTACGGGTTTCCGATACCCTCCTCGCTCAGGCGGGGCCTCCCTGGAGGGGAGGGAGGGAGGCGGGAGGCGGGAGGGAGAAGGAGAGGATGTTCTGGGAAAACAAGAATGCATGTATTGCTCGACTGGATTCTGTCATAATCGATCCAGCCAGCATTGGTGCCCGACGCGGCCGGGCCGGCGGGCACCGGAGCATAGGGGGGCGGCCCTACAAGACTGCCTCCCTTCCTGGTACCTCGGTCTCGATGCTGGGCCAGGGTATCGCTGAGTTCGCTGTCCTGGAGCGGCGGTGCCGCTCGGGGTATTTTCTTCAACGATTTCACAGCATCTGCTGGAGACTCAGCCCCCTGGGCTAATTCGCCCCTATCGTCGCCTCCGAGGGGTGCACACAACACGCGACTGGCTCACCGGCGCGGGCGAGCACCACGACGGCTCGGGCCGGCACGGCGCCCTCCCAGCAGCTCCCGAGAGGCACGCGGCCGGCATGAGGACCGACTGCTCTGGGCGAGGCGGGGGGGGCCAAGAGAGCGGTCGGTGGCAGGACGAGAGTGACGTCGTGAGCGGGAGCGGCTCGGGACACGCTCCTGGAGTTCCAGGAGGGTCCAGCGGCCCTCGCTTCCGGAGCCCGTGCGGGCCGGAAGGGATGCTCGGACATCTGGATGAGGCCTCGGAAAATTTGGAGCACGCTTGTCATGACTTCTTGTGCTCTTCTGCAGTCGGGTCGAGGAGCGAGACCGAAAGAACCCCCACATCGGCACGCCCCCCCTCTCTCTGGAACAAAACCTTTGAGTTAGCGCTCCGTCTTGCTGTGCTACGGAAGCGAGCCTGCTTTGCGGCACCCCGTCCTTACGACGAGGTCGTAGGGCGACCCGCCGATGCAAACGAAATTCGCGGCTCGGCCGCGGATCTCTCGTTCGGCGATGTCGACCCTCGCCATGAGCAGCTGGTGATCAGCAGCAGTCCTTCGTATTACTGGACTTGGTCTTCGTCCTTTCGGACTACTTCTCCCTGCTTGGACTTTCTCTTCCCCTCGGCAGGAGGCGCCTTCGCCTCGCCCCTCGCTGGCGCCCTTGCGGCTGGCACAACCGACTCCGAGGCGGCGCCTATGGCGATGGGGCCCGCATCAATCTCCTCCTCGGCGACAGGAATGCCAGACAGCATCGTGTTGAGCACCTCTGGGGAGATCGTGTAGCGAGCGAGGGATGGGGCCTCGTAGAACATGGTGTCCTGCGTCGTATCGAAGCCAGCTGACATCGCAGGACAGACCAGTCGCGTGATATGTGGCGAACGAAGACGTACGAGGCCTGAAAAGCTTGAGCAACAACAGCTACGGAGAGGAGGAGGAGGAGGAGGAGGAGGAGGAGGAGGAGGAGGAGGAAAAGAAGGGGAAGGAGGAGAGGGAGGATGAGGACGAGGAGGAGGAGGAGGAGGAGGAGGAGGAGGATGTGGAGGAGCAGGAGGAGGGGCAGAAGGAGGAGGCGAGCGAGCGAGCGAACAAACCTCAAGGAACCCACAACGATCCTGCATCCGCAGCGCTATTGCGCCGAACCCGTGTTGTGACTCCATCGCGCATCGGCTTGGACACTGAGACGGGACATTGCACCCCAACGAGGAAATAGGAAATAGTGGAAGAGCTGGCGTGCCTCGAGGGGGAGGTTGAGGAGGAGGAGGAGGAGGAGGAGGAGGAGGAAGAGGGAGGAAGAAGGAAGAGGAGGAAACGCCGCTGGCGACGGGAAAACAAACCAACCACGAAGCGCGTCTACCAGCCGACTCGGCCTGTGGATCCTGGCTCGGGATCCGAGCGCCATCTGAAGCGGTGCACGAAACTGGCCTGCCCATCGGGCCTCTGAAGCCCCCCTTCTCCCCCAACTCCTGCTCTTCATTCTCATGCGGCTGCTGTTGCTGCTGCTAGTGCTGCTCCTCCTCCTCGTCCTCTTCCTAGTCCTCCTCCTCCTCCTCCTCCTCCTCCTCCTCCTCCTCCTCCCTCCTCCTCCTCCTCCTCCTCCTCCTCCTCCTCCCCCTCCCTTCCTTCTCCATCCATGTCCCTTTTGAGGAACTCTTTGAGAGGGCGCCTCGCTGGATGTCCCCAGAGGGGGGT